AGGAATCTCCATTAAGTGCAAAATTTGTTAGGTATGTTAATGTTTTGAACTGTGAAAACAGATAAAGATCCTGTAAAATCTCTGCTTTATAAGAGCCTGCTTTCTTAAACATAGACAAAACCCTGTTTGGGAGCTTTCTTTAATATTTCTCTAAGGAATATATTCTGGGTTCCTCCGAAGGCAATCATAGAAAGTCATGAACAGCACAGACTTAAAATTCAGAGAGAAAGGCTCTGTCAGCTGCAGTTAGGATGCCCTTGCTTCAAGCATACTGCAGAAGGTGTCTGCTGCCCCCTTCAGGATTGGATAAAATATTAATTTTTAATCACTAATTAATAGCACCTCATTCCTTTGAACTTGTTTTCAAAGAGGAGGGAAAATAATAAGAACCATAGCAGTTGTTAAGTAACTGTGAAGTAGTTGTTATTGTTTGATGTTAAGTGCAATAGTCAGAACTGAGAAAAAGGCCTCAGAACCAAGGCTGGGGACTACAATATGGGAAACAGGGAGCAAATCAAGTTTCTGGACTGCAGGCTCATACTGCACAAAGAAGCATAAACAGCTTCTGTAAAATAAAATAAAATAAAAATGAAAACTCTCCATTGCAGATCTCTGCTACTTTGCATCTCTCTGTATGCTTTCTCTGGAAGCTCTCAAAATCCTTTGTATATGTATAAAGTCTTCATTTGTAAGATGCAGATGTAACTCTCGAATGCACAAGTGTATCATTTATGTCTCCATGCTGTTATTTTTTCTAGGTTTTCCTTCTTCCCCTTTTTAGGATAATAGGACAAAGATTCTAATGGTTCTACTCTGTTATTCAAATAAATATTTACGATTCCTTCTGGTTGGTACCAACTGACTTCCATGCAGTAGTAACATTCTGGTTAATACTGCAAGTCCTATTGCTACTTGTAACGCAGAACTGAGATGTGAGATACTGACTACATGGAGGTATCCTTTAGGGATGAAGCTATCAGAACAAAGTTAGTATGTTATGTTTGGGATGTAACATGGTATATTTTTAAACTTGTGTTTAGGAGATAAAAATTGATTAAAAAAAATAAAACAGATTGCTTTAAGCATTTTCAGTTCTTACTGTGCGGAGGTAAAGGAATTTATGAAAAGTTACTTTGCACCACCCTCCATTAATCTAAACTGCTGAGATGTTAAGAGCAAAAATAAATACCAGGTTCTTGTGTAGTGACAGTGCTTTATTGTTTTCCTCACAATTTAAGCAAAATGATTACAGAAGATGAACAGAAATACAGATTTGATGGCATACTGCATTCCATATACCTCACTACATAAAGGATCCCAAAGAATCAAACTTATATACTCTTAAGGGGAGATAATGTATCTCTATTTTTTTTTTTTGGACACTGAAATAGTAATTTTCTACTTTGGTGAATCTAAATTCTTAAGTCTCCTAATTTATGCTCTCAAATGCCCCAAAACATGCATTTATTCTATTTGCTGTCCTGTCTGTACTCATTTTGCTCTTAAGGGTAAAAAGAAAAAAAAAAAAAAACCTTTTAATTTTACACACACCAGATTAATAGCATGCCAAAGGAAAACTAGAAATCATCCTTGAAGTCAAATCAAATCATTCAGATGTGACAGAAGAATCCTGCTGCTCACCAGTATATTACAATCCATGAAATGTAGTGCAATACATCACTGAGGTATGTTGAGTTTTGCTTTTGTTAGGACATTTGTTTTCTCAAATACTACAAGTTTGAGTTTATCATTCCCATTCCTTGGCACTCAATGATGTAAGCATCTTTACTAGGATCTTCCTCTTCTGATTTTGTTACAGTAAATTTGGCCTAAAACAAATAGGATAAAAAATACATATCACTAAACATGTCATAGTATACATGTAATATATAACATGTGTCTATATGTAAACACAAATAAATCTTCAATATCTGTTGTCTGATTATCTATTTATAGCTTGTTTGTGCGTTTTGAGAGATTTGACTGATTTCATTAAAAACATTTAAATGGAAGTGGTAAAGGATCTAACCACTCTAAAAGAATTTAACTATAAAATACTCACTTTCTACTAGTAAACTCCCATATAAATATTGTAGCAATTATTTTATGACCACTTGTTCTGCATGAGGGAAAGTTCAGTCCACAAATACTGCTAAAATGGACATGAGTCTATAGAACTCACACTTCCTAGTATACAGGATGAGAACTGATTGACAAAATTTCCTCAAATTTTGGACTCACCTCTGTTAGCTGCTCTGCAAAGTGTATAGCAGTTTGAGTATGAAGTGTAACTGGTCCACTTTTCACTCTGGACACTCCCTTTGCTAATGCCATAAAAATGATCAGCTAAAAGAATAAAGGTAATTATTTAATAAGTGTATAGAGCAAAATCAAAAAAAAAGAAAAAAAAAGAAACAAAAACATGCAAAACCTCTGTAAATGAAAATATGGTTCTAAGCACTGAGACTGTGGTGAGTAGTCCCATCACTGATGTAGGTTCCTGCACTTCAGTGTTAAAATTTCACAAAAGTACTTGGTGCTGAGTATTAAGAATGATCCAAGATTCAAGAAGCTTGGGAACTACTACTCTAACACATATCATAGATGGGGACGCTACTTTTCTACAGTCAAGTTTTTGTTTGAGTTGCTGTATACAATAGTGTGTCTGTGTGTTATGTGTGTGTATGTGGGGTGTCTTTATTCTTAAATGTAGTTATGCGAGGAAGTCAAAAAGGAACACCTAATGGATATTTTGGATCTAATGGCCTCTCTTAATCTAGCCTTTAGCACATGGGAAGAGAACTCTCTTCTTCCTCTGCTGTATGGCATGGTTTCAGAAATAGCAAGTACATAGTAGGAGGGAATTACTACAGTCTAATTTAGAAATCTTCTTCCCATTCTTCCACTGTTCAGATTTGAATTCCTTACAACAATACATATATCCATGTCCTTGCTATAGTTCAACTTCATCTAAACATATATAGGAGCCTTACTTGGTCTTGCAGAGAGTCATCCACAGCTCCACCATGTTTAAGATTTTTAAGCAGTATCTCTGCTGCTTCAATGCCAACTTTGTCAGAATTCTTTCCTAGCAAAGAAATAAATCCACAAGATTAAGATGTGTCCAATTATTATTTTATAGTTAAAAGACACAGAAAATCAAAAAGTGACAAACAACTTGTTAAATCTTTATTTTCATACTCTTACCGCCAATGACCCCTTGAAAAAAGGTCTTCTCTTATGATGTATAGTTCGTACTCTGTAAGCAGAGGCCTGTCGCCTCACATGCACTTAGAGAAACATTTTATACAAACCAATTATAGCTAAAATCCCTTCTATACCTTTTCATCTAGGTACAACTAAACTGAGAATTCCTTTCAACTCAGTGACCTTAGCAATTCATTCAGATAAAAGGTGAGTTTAAGAACTCTGTAAATTTTGACTATGCAAAAGCAGCTTAGAAATCGATCAGAGTCTAAAATCCTATTAGCCAAAATCGAAACCTGCTATTTCCACTGTCCTTTATTACTGAATAAAGTCCAATTCAAACGAAACTCCAGGCATCAGACCCTTGGACAGATAATATGTGAGAGTCCTATTCATTAATAGGACATTAAGTTAAACCTGAAACCAGTGTATTTCACACAACTCTTACCTCTCTTGCCAAGTGATGACCCAGCTAACAAACAACCTGTTGAAGTCTCTGCTACAATGCTAAACATAAAAAGCAGAATCCATATTAAAAGTATAGAATTATTCATGCTACATCTTATTTATAAGAAAAATAATCATGATTATTGTATTTTGTTTTTAAGTAGAGAATTTTAATGTCACTATCCTCCTGCAAATTCCTCCATGCCAGGTCTCGCTACTCTCCTGCTCTGTTGCAGATCAAGAATTCAATGAAGTGAGATAATTTTAACAAAGCCAAAAAGAAGAATTCAATGAATGGCAGTTAGTGAGATAATTTTAACAAAGCCAAAAACATTGTTTTTCATACTTTTCAAATTTGATTATTCAGATACTTATATTAAAAAATAGGTTAAATGTTTTTAACATGTAGTTAACATGTTTTTAACATGTCCTAATATACATTCTTGCTTTCAAAAAGAAATCACTTTTTTTGACTGCTTGTGTGTCTTGAGAAGATGTAGCTAATCAGTTAGTAACTTTACAAGACAGGTATTAATAGGAAGTTTTGGTTCATCTTACATTATTCCACTTCCAGTCCCAACAGCTTGATTGTCAGGTTCTCGAACTGATTGAATGTTAATGTAAAGATCCCTGATTTCTTTTCTGATACATCTCACTGCTGCTGCCGCCATGTCTTTTGCCAGCTATCAAGGTAATAGAAAAAAAAATCAAGTTTAATATTGTAATAATACTTTTTCCTCATAAGCTTAATTATTACCATAGGATCCTTTATAAAGTCTCTTCTGAGAGAGAATTTCTTCAATGGTGTTAATACTAAATGCTAAACAATTGATAGTTTATAATGCTGACTGTAGTTCCTGTAGTGAAATTTTAGTGATGTAGATGTACACAGAAGCTTTAATACCAATAGAATTTCAAGACTTTTTCCCCCATACCTATGGATAGAGACTTAGTCTTATCTTACATCAAGATATTAGATTGTAAAAGAGTGATTATGCACAGGATATATTCTGTAAATCGTAATGTATAAATAACAATTTTAGATCACAGGTAGCTGAGGGCCAATTAAGTTTTTCTCATGCTGGGGATCCAATAGGAGAAAAAGAAGATCATAGTCCATATCCATAGGTTTGGAGATTTTTAAGACCAAAACCAAGGATCTTCAAAAAAGTAACTGTTTCTTCTCTCCCTTTCTCAAATGTTTCCTACCCTGTGTGTGTGAGAACAAGCCCTGAGAAGATCCAGCCACTCACTCCCTGTAAATACCGACAGGATAGGAACAAGAGCAGAGGTAAAACGAAGCAAATGAATTTTTGTTTTGTATTTGCCTAATCTACCCTTAACTTGTTTGTCTGATGGTTGAAAAGTCTGATTTAATCTGATATCTGTATATTGCTAGTGCACTGTAGTTTATCCTCAAATCTATGGATGATTTCAGATTTATTAAGATAATTCATGCAATATGACTTACACTTAAATCAGATTTAAAGTGTCCCACAATCTATGGTAAAATTTTCTCAATAGTCATGTCAAGGGCATCATTCTCATTCCCTATTTTAGGTGCTACCATAATGCTATGCAAATTTCAGGCTATTTTATGGCCTCAAAAAATGAATTTCTTTAATAAGGTTACTTTGGTTTCTATGAGAAAGTGTGCATAATACAGGAGCAACAAGGACATGTTATGCACATTACATACAACATTTGTAATTTACATACAAACTTAGTTCTGGATGCTTCCAGAGCTATCATCAGCACTCACTTTTATAGGCAGAGCTCCAGCAACAAATGCTCTTCCATATATCTTTGTCACAGTGCCACGTTCTGTTAGGTTTATTGGGCTCAACTCCTTGACTGGTGACATCTGGACTATAACTTCACCACCTCCTTGGGGATAGTAGCCCCTATTTAGAAATAATAATCACACCTAAGTAAATGTGAAGATTAAAAAGAGCAAGAAAGTAGCAAGAATGCTTCACATTCTATTATACATTTTATATTCTCGGGTACTATATATATGAACTTTGCTGATGTTTGCCTTGGAAATATTTATATCAGAAATATGTTCTCTAGCAGTACTAGCTCATAACACACGTTATGAGCCTGAAACACACGTTATGAGCCTAAAAATAGCTTAACGCATTTGTTCTTTTCTGAAACTTTACAATTGTTATTTGTGTTGAGACATACCTAAAGGCAGGAAATAAGGGTCTTACATAGGTAGTGTCATAAAGAACATGTTGCTGTGAGTGTGATTAGTTTCCTCATGATTGGTATCCTATCCCCTATTACACCACCAGCAGCCTCACTTTTCTTTTGCTTTTCTTCTGGGCTTTGAAAGAGAGCCCAAAATACTTTTTTGGGTGCCTGGGCTCTCTAAAAGTGCAGGAGGATACCAAAAACTGGCAACTCAGAATAAACTCTGTAATGGTGCTTGCTCAGCATGTGCTTCCCTCGGAGGTAGCCAATAGGACATACCAAAACGTAAGGTGGAGATGCAGCAATGCAAAAAGACAGGAAAGAGCTATACCCTGTTCATCGTGGGGTGATAATACACACGGAGAAGCACATGAATTACTGTATTACAAGTTCATCCCTTGTCTTGATTCAGGACACCTTGTAATGTGCCTAGGCATTGGCTGCCTCATGGTTCTACAGCTCACCTCTTTTTTATATCACAATTGAATGTGAAATTGAACTTTTCAACAATTGGCTTGAAAACCTGAAAAATAAGCACATACATAAACATAGGCTGAATGCAGTCAGTGTTCTGGATTTAGCATTTCTCACCATTCTATTCAGTCTTCAAAAAGAAAAACAGACAAAGAGATGTTCAACATGAAAATTTCACGTACACGATAAAAATCTATATATTTATATAGCAGTCCTATGCATACAAGTTATTTTAGGTTCTTCGTGCTTCATTCTGAATGGCACCTTGTGTTAAAGGATTCTTATATGGGAAGAAGAAGAAAAATTCCTAAAAATTTTACAGCATTTTAGGAACAGAGAATCTATTTTAAGTGAAATGATCTTTAGTAATTAAAACCAACAAACAAGTTGTTGTTTCAGGCAATTCTGAGAGGTACTGGTTGCTCTCTAAATATAACACATTAATAGTGAATAGTGTAGTATTCCCATGTCAAACAGATTGGTGTTCGCTTCAGTAGTTTACCAAGTAAACATTTAATTTTGCAGTTAAAATTGAAGTAAAATTGCAGTAAGAGCAACAAAAGTACAATAGCTACAGTGCATACATATGCATGAAAGATGCATCAAGCCAAAGAAACTGTTCCCTACCATGATTGTGTAGTCTATCTGAGGAGCCATCTCAGCATTAGTCCCACCTTTTAAATGAAGTTCTGATGGGGAAGCAGCAAACAGCACACAGGGCATTGCTACCTGCATCAGTAGGCACACGCTCCTAAAAATAATCACAATATACTCAAATGTCATATAGCCATAATCCACAGAGAATCATTAGGTATTGAATGCAAATGGTTAGATATGTAAGTATCTAACTTTTAACTTTATCTATTAAGTAAAATTATTAGTTTTTAAAAATACTGATTTAAAACACTTAAATGCTTTTAGCAAGCCTAATACATTTTTTTTTCTATAATAATTGCATCTTTAAAATTTTCTAAATTAAATTTCTGATACACAATTTTCTTGTTGAATCCTTGCATATTCCATAGGTAATAAAGCTTTCCTTCCAACCTGATGTGCAATTACTAATCCTTCTGCAATGTTGCCTTTTGTGTCATGTTTAAGGCAGTAGCTTGTTTATGCTATTGCAGCTTAGAAAAAAAATATTTTAATTTAAAGTTTCAACTATGCCTAATGTATCTTATGCTGCCAGGTGGCTGCTCACACTGTGCTTGGGGAGCTGAACCCATTCTACTCAGTCTTGCAACAGATTCAAAGACCAAAGGACCCAACATGAGATACAGCACAGAAAAGCAGAAAGACAGAGAACAGTGGACAGGCTACGTCCCCAATTCTGAAGATGAGTATCACTTCCCACCAGCGCATGCCCAAGAGAAACCTCAAAATCAACCCTATTATATAACTAATTCAACATTTTATTGAACATGCTACTAACAAATGTAGCAGTCGTTATCTTTTGCCATGACTCAAAGGCAGGTAGGAGGGCAGCAGACCTACCCTGCTGTTTTGGTGTCCGCCAGGTGGGTCCCGCCCTTGATCTTGCCAGGAGTGAAGGTGATTTCCGTGGAGCCGATCTCGCCACCCTCCAGCTTCCCCTCACACAAATCCCGAATCATCTCCAGGCCCATCAGATGCTGAGGCCTTCAAGTCATTAAAGACAAACTTGTAAGTGGTAGTATTCTTGATACATTGAAAAGAATTACTAAATGCTAACTAATAAATACTTATTAAATACCATGATTGTCCCATTCTCTCCAAACAAGCCTCAGAAATTCTATCTTGCCCCAGCAGGATTTCTCTTAGACTTTCTTATACAGCTATATTTTTAATGCCATTATAACACTATTATTTAGTCTTTCCCCTAAGTTCTTGGCCACCAAAGGAGGAGCATCTGTTTATTTATCTGTTGCAGGGGACCTGGAAACGCTGGTGCACCCACGCCATCAGGGCCATGTTGCTGTTTCACTATGTTTCAATGAGGACAATGATGCTCTGCAAGGTAAAAATTCACCTAGTGGCCTCCAACTTTCTCTGCCTTACGGGCTACTGGTCTGATAGTGATATTCTTTGCTCTGTTACTATTTTTTAACGGTTCACATCTCCTTGCCGCCCGTTTGCGTTACCTGAGGCCGGGCTGGCTGCGGCCGGCGCGGATCCTGCGCACGCGCAGCGGGAGCCCGCGCAGGCAGCTCAGCGCCGTGGAGACGCGCAGGATCTGCCCGCCCTGCGGGGAGAAAGAGCCGCTCAGACGGCGCCGCCGCGCGGTCCCGCCGCCCGGCCCGCTCCCGCGCTCACCCCCTCCATGATGCCGCCGTCTATGTCCACCCGGTCCCCGTCCATGGCGGCCGGCGGGACAAGGC